ACAATTTAAAGACAGCATAATAGCATACAGCATCTGGACTCCGTATTTTCCATTTTTATGTGGCTTATTCTATTTTTTTACTTTTATTTTTTCATCTTAATACCAGTACCTTGTTTCTTTAAACTTTCTCTGTATTTTCCTTTGAGACAGCACTTCTCTATTTCAATCCAACTGTCTTAGGAGTTGAGGTACCCATTTTCTAGTACCTTTCCAATCCCACTCTCAGGAGTTAAGATACCTTACCAGTACCTTTACTAATCCACCCTCATAAATCCTTACTTGCTGGTCAGCCTTCTGAGGGTGATCTCTTTCTTTCCCCGATCTCGGTGGAACCTTCACTTGTGGCATCCACACCACGACTAAGTTTGAGTAGCGGGTGAAAGCCTGGAGATTGAGTTAAAAGCAGAGACATCTGTCCAACTTTATTCGTCTTCTTATTCCATGGGGAGAGCAACCTTATATACACTTACAGCACAGTGGAAAAGCCTCAGGTGTAAGAGCTCGTGGAAGAAGAGCTCATGTTTTCCCAGGTGTAGTAGGGTGAGGCCAGGACTGAAGCCAGGATTAGAAAACAGGATGTACCTGTGGTTATTGGCTGACAAGCAACTCACAGAGACCCCGTAGGGGCTGGGACCCAACAAACGCTGGATTGCACTAAATAAAGTGCCTATGCAACTCTGTTCAATGAATCCCCAGAAATATCGGGGCCTCTTTCTTAAGATTTTTTAAAATTTTTAAATGTATGTGTATGTGTGAACACATGAATGCTGGTGCCTGTGGAGGCTGGAAGGGAAGCAGTAGTCCCTAACTAGAGTTACCGGTGTTTGTGAGCTGTCTTACTTCTGTGCTGGGTCCTCTCTAAGAGTACCAGGCACTCTTAACTGCCCAACTGCCTCCCTCTCCTCATGAAGACAGCATGCCATAGGCATGCAACACTGCCCCCACTGAACAACAGAGCTGAATTCCAAAGGAGCAAACACTATCACACACAGGTCTCTCTGCTCAAGGTAGTGGCTGGCTACCCTGGGGATTGTGCAAGATGTCACTGTGGCTGACCTGCATTGGAAGCAGGTTTGACGCAGGTAAGAGGACAGACAGATTGACCACAGGAATAAGGCCCTTGTCAGTGCACCAGAGTTTCGCAATGTACAGGTTAATGACGTCACAGGGGAAAAATATCAAAGTGTGGTAAGTGGAGTAGCAAACAAATCACAAGCACAGAACATCACGGATTCAAATGTGCATTTGGTAAGGAAATGGAAAATAGTGCTTTACTTACAGTTTCAGTACCCACTCCATAGAACTTTGGCTGTAAGCTCCCTGGAGTCTCCTTTGGAATCAGTACAACCAGTATTTGAAATTGAAAAACCAAGCATAGATTTGGATTTCTGTGAAATGAAAGGAGAAATTTGCATTAGTGTAATAGTTGTTAGAACAATGTTTGAAAGGAGGCGATTTCTTTTATGTATCTTTGGAACTTTTTATGGTATTGCAAAAATGAAGGAAGGCCAGGGCCAGGCAGTGGTGACACATACCTTTAATCCCAGCACTCAGGAGGCAGAGGCAGAAGTATCTCTGTGAGTTTGAGGCCGGCCTGGTCTACATAGTGAGTTCTAGGACAAAAGCTACAGAGAAACCCTGTCTTTAGAAAAAAAAAAAAGATTTAACCTTTGTATGTGGAAATTTCATCTCTCATGTATTAGATTGCATCTTTATTTTGCTGTGATAAAATCCATGACCAAAAGCAATTTGATTGCTTTTATAGATCCATGTCTAAGTTTGTATCAAGTTGACAAAAACTATGACAGCATATAATTTTTACTTCTCACACTATATTGTTTTTTGTTTGTTTTTGCTATTTAAAGCTAGGTTTTGTAAGTGTTCAGAACAGCAGAAGGAGTAGACTTGGCTAACAGGCTTACTTGTCAGCCAGGATTTCTATGAGTGCTTTGTTCCCTTAGGACTGTAGGAGGGGCCCACATTCTCTGAAAAGAAAGGAGAAAGCAGGGGCTCCCAACATTTTCTAACAGCAATCTTCTTCACTCAAAATTTTTTATGTGACCCCAGGTATTTAAGGAGATAAAACAGATATGCGAATCAAACATTCACATATAATAAAACATAAATTTGTTTGAAAACAATTCTTTGGCATACATGTCAATTTAGCATTTATAAAAGGTTGAACTGTGTTAACATACTAATGATATGCATGTGCCTATTTATTTTTACATAAGGAATCCAGTCTTAGTTAAATATTTGGTACTAAAGAATTCGGAGCATCATCGGTGTACTTAGCTCTTCTTGGGGAGCTTCTCCAGCTGCTCCCGCTCTTGTCCAGGCATTTCCTCTGCTCTTCTGCTCTGTCCAGCATTTCTCCAGTGCAGCTCTCAGACAACAAGCAGAAGCAAACAGGTGGCATGGGTTCATTTGTTTTTCTCTTCTGTTGACCACAGATGTAGGATGACCAGCTGTCCCAAAGCTCCTGTCTCTGTGATTTCCCCACATGATGGACTATAAACGTGATTTAAAGCCAAATAAACCCCTTTCTCCCCTGAGTTGCTTTTAGCCATGGTATTTGTCTTAGTTATTCTGTAATTGTGATAAAATATTGTGTCAACTTAAGGGGCTCATTATTTCAGAGGTGTCATCTCATGGTCCTTTGACTTTGTCCTTTTTGGGGGTGTTTCCTTTGAGGGTGTGTAGAGTAAAATAAAACATCTCACCTCATGGTGGCCAGAAAGCAATGAGAGTAAACATTCCCTTCAAGATCATACCCCCACTGGGCTGGGAAGATTTCTCAGCAATTAAGAACTTTTGTTGTTCCTGCAGAGAACTTGAGTTTGATTTCCAGAATTCACATGGTGGCTCACAATAATTCATAACTCCAGTTACAGAGAAACCAGTGCCCTCTTCTGGCATCTGGGAGCCCCAGGAATGCATGCTTTATGCACAGACATTGCAAGCAAAATACTCATAGACATAAAAACTTAAAATATATGTATATGTTTTTTAAAAGAATATATCTTATCTGGGTGGTGGTGGCACACGCCTTTAATTCCAGCACTCAGGAGGCAGAGGCAGAGGCAGGTGGATTGCTGTTAGTTCAAGACCAGCCTAGTCTACAAGAGATAGTTCCAGGACAGCCTCCAAAGAAACCCTGTCTTGAAAAAACAAAAAACATAACAAAACAAAAAAAGAATACATCTTGCCTGGCGGTGGTGTATATACCTTTAATCCCAGCAGTCAGAATGCAGAGGCAAGCAGATTTCTGTGAGTTTGAGGCCAGCCTGATCTACAGAGTGAGTTCCAGAACAGGCTTCAAAGCTACAGAGAAACCCTGTCTAGAAACAAAAACTAAAAAAAGGGAAAACATCTTAATGACCTAACTTTCTCCCCCTAAGCCCTACCTCCCAAAAGGTCCACTATGTCCCAATATATAATCATCTTGGAACAAAATCTTCAACACATATTCCTTTGGGAGACATTTGGGATCAGAGCCAATATGGTAGCACATACTTGTAATTTCAGGAAAATCTTTTCCTCAAGACTAGGTTCAACTACAAAGTGAGACTTTATGTCAAAAAATGAAACAACTACAACAACAAAAAAACCTTGCAGGTAGCATCCCAGGAGAGTGTGAATTGAGGATGCAAAAGCTGGTGTCAGGGAAACCCTACAGCAAAGCATTTTTGCAAGAAATATGGTCCCTTTTCAAGAGAGTGGTCCTCAATTGGTGTAGTCCTCGGAGCTCTACTAAACTCAACAGAAGTTAAATGTACTTGCTGAGGCACAATAGGCAATCAATGAAAGGGATAGTTTGCCTTTTTAGGGCTAGATGGAGAGTCAGGACTCCATAGACATCTTCCTTACACAAGACCCCTCCCTCCCCATCCCACCATAGAAATGGTCTTCTCTGGAAGCCTCTGCCAAGGTTCTGTAGAGCCCTATGTTACTCTGTGCCAATGTCCCTTTTGTGGTTCTGTTCTTCCAAAGTTGGACATGATCCTCACCAAGTCTGCATGCTAAATCATCCCATGCCCTGTACCTGCCTAGTTTTCTCATTCCCAAATGACAGGTCATGAGTGACAGCTAATGGATGCCATACACGTGGTCTCTAGCCTTTGCCGTCTCTACATAGGAGCAGGCAAGGTGGGATTCTGCTTTCTGCCCTGAAAGGCAGGACACACCTTCATGTTAAGATAGTTCCCCAAAATAGACAAGGAGTTAACTAAACCATGATAACCATGCATAGCTATAGGCAAACCCTAGACTGGTAAGAGAAATGGACAAGGGAAAAGGTCGGGATCTGTGAAATATCAGGTACCTCTTTAGACTCCCTGTAGCTTGGTTTGAGCAGATGTGTCCAGCCTGGTTTGGCTGAAGGCCACAGCAGGGAGCACAGGATCCTGAGTTAGGTCACTGAGCAGGAGCCACCTGCTAAACTCTCATGGCCTTGAGACTCCAACAAGTTCTTCCTGTACATACTCCATGCCCTTGATGAGGCTAAGTAGCTGTGATGTGTCACTTGCCAGAAGCAGACCTCTAACCTTGCTGCACTTTCATCATTTCTGCCAAAATGAATCTTTGCAATCAATTTGATAGATTACATCATTGTAGGCTACCAGGATTTACAGAACTCTCTACATCTGCGAGTCCCTCTTCACCTCCATGACCTTTCATCTTGATTTATAGATAGAGCTATCTTCATTGGATTATTCTTTAGCAGCTGTATCCAATGTGAAACCCATAGGCTCCATGCATACCAGGATAGCTATCCGCGTAACCCCAGATTTGTAGATGACAAGATCATTTCACAGTGGCAAAACACTGAATGCCCCTACAAGTCTCCTTACTTTAAAAACAAAAAGCATCCAGTTACTATTCATTGAGCCACATCCACGTCCTATGATGATGCTTTTACTTCAATTTAACATCAAGACTATTCTGAATATATTAATAAGTGCTGTTTGAGAAGCAGAGTAAACCATATTGGCCTGGTGTGATGGCACCCATCTGTCATATAATATAATTTATTCTGGAGCCATCTTGAGTGACCATGGCTCAGGAACACAGATCTAGGTTAATCCAAATTCCATGTTTCAGCATGGAAGCAGTTTCGTTAAGTTTTTTTTTCTTATTACAGTATTTATTTGTCTTCTCTCAGTCAAACCCTGAGCCAAGCACTTTCCCCAGACTTCCTGGGGAGATACAGGAAAAGGAACATACAGGGCAGACAGGACACGAAAGAACTATGGGAAATGAAAGTGGAGACAGCTGCTTCACGTGGCGAAGAGGATGAGAAAAGCCACCATTAGGCAAAAGAGCCCCATGGCCTCTGAGAGGGCAAAGCCCAGAATCTCGTAGGAGATGAGTTGTTGCTTCAGAGAAGAGTTCCTGGCATAACCAATGTTGAGGCTCCCAAAAACAGTCCTAATCCCAGCTGCAGAGCCAGCCACTCCAATTGTAGCAGCCCCAGCCCCAATGAACTTGGTGACTGTGTCGATGTCCCTGGAAATTACACTGGTTTGGAAGCTGCCGCTAGGGATGAGTGTGGTCGGAGGACAAGGGGCTGCCAAGCTGCTGAGGCCGTCATATCTGTCCATGTCTGTGGTTGATTCAACTCCACTGCAGACAGGGGACACTCAGCAGCGGAGAGGTGGAGATGAACTTGGAGCAATCATACATTTTCAGGGGTGAGAAGCCAAGGCAGGAGAGCTGCTCCCAGGGTAGAGAAGACAGAGATGGCTCGTTCTATAGTTTTACAGAACAAAGAAAGTTATGTCAGGACAAGATTAAAATACATTCGTGGGTACATCAAAGAGGCAGGTACAGCAAATTGGGAGAAGGGTCTCTCTCTCTCTCTCTCTCTCTCTCTCTCTCTCTCTCTATATATATTTTCTCTGTGTAGCTTTGGAGTCTGTCCTGAAACTCACTTTGCATACTCTGTCTCTGGAGTGCTGGGATTAAAGGTGTGCAGGACCACCACTTGGTGGGAGAAGTGTCTCCAGAGGCCCAAGATGCTATCTGAGATTTTGGGTTGGTGGAAGCTAGTGGTCTAAGTTAATAGATTATAAAAGGTTAGTATCAACACAGAGGTGGCAAGGAACGGCTACGTGGAGGAGTGGGGTATAGAACTAGCCCGAAATAGGGTAATTGAATTAGTTTCTGGACCGCGACATGCCCATCTCTCCGAAGTACCCCAGTTCTAATCAGCCGATCAGTCTCTGCAGACGCAGCTTCTTTCCAGTTCTCATCCATAGTCCCCATAAAAGGCTCCAGCAACACATGCCTTACTCCTTAGTATCTTCACTCATGTGGTCCCCTGTCAATCTTGACAATATATCCCTCTTTAATTTGCGTTATCACTTGACTCCAAATAAACCAACTTGCTTATTTCGCAAATCCTGTGGGATTCCCTATTTTCAATTTATTGGCAAAGAGACGAAGGAAGAACTTGGAAACACCTAGCCCAGACCTTGACCAGGAATTTCTTTCTAAACCAAGCGCTACAGACTCGCCCAGTCACTCATGGAAGGGCGGGACAGGCAGTACAGTCGTTCTCTATTGCCCCAATCAGTTTTTGTTTAATTGATCATCCCATTCACTCTCTCCGACCTGTATGTACCCTTACGAAACCTAGATGCCGACTCCACTCGGACACCAGAATCCCAGAGGCAAACAGCTGGATTCAGGCTGCCAAAGACACCGGAACACAATTACAGGCCTCTGTTGCCTACCGGAATCCTAAAGGCAAGGAAGCGAGCAGGCGGAAACCATCTCGGGGGACATTTTTGGCGGAGGGATGCACTAGTTCTGTTGCTCTCTTGCTTGGGTTTGTGCTTCCGGTTTGCTGTAGCTTGAGTTTATTTTTACGCGATGCTCCGTAGAATCCCGGCGTTAATACGTCCTCGCCCCTTCTCGGGCCTTCCTTTGTCCTCTGGAAACTGGGATGTCTCGGTGGCTGTGTGTGTGCCACCCACGGCTCGGTCCGGAACCGGCAGGTAAAGCGTCCCAGGTGTCTTCCGGGTCTTCCAATATTCCCTGGCGCCTGTACGTACAGCCCTAGTTTCTCCAGCCGCCTGGGGTCGACACGTAGACTCTTAGAAGCGGCTGTTTTAAATGTGGGTAAAGAGAAATCCTAGAAAGAGGCGGCAGTTTGCCCAGTGTCTCGGCGAGTGTGGCAAACAGGTGTGACAGCCTGCCTCGACTCCTGTCCTGGGGGCTTTCTGCTGCACGCACGCCCGCCCCTCACCTTGCTTGCTGCTACAAATCTAGGGTAAGGATTTGGCAGTGAAAAACAGAAACACAGAGGCAGTTTGAATCTGAGTGTATTTTGCAGTTCTCAAGCAAGGTTTTTTATAGAGATACTTTCTCAGGGGATGTTTTTGTTAAACAAACTCAAACATATGATATTATTGTTACTTGGCACAGTGACGCAGAAATCCAAAACATAGAATCATCCAGGCTTAATCAAAACACAAAATAGTCCTTGAGTAATCAAAATATAGGACCCTCCTTGATTAACATAGGATCTTCCAAAGCCAACCGCGTATTTCTTAAATTAAATTATATTTTTATTACGTCAGTTATTGTTTAACATCTATTACGTAGTTCTTGTAAGTATTTGAAATATTGAGCTATTTTAACTCTTTCTTATTAAACGCTTTCTTTACCATACACTTAAGCCCACTCTTGATGACACATGTACAGCCATATGAAATTTTATTGTTGGGAACGGTTTTTTTTACTAATTGTACTTATATGAATGACGTGAATGATTTGGAAAGCGCTGGTTTTTCCTGAGATGAGGTCATGGCTAGTGCCCCCCCCTCTTATCTGTTTCTTTTGTTTAAAATGTCAGCATAGGCTTTTAGGAACATTTCGTTAATGTGGAAAAAGAAAAGGAATAGAAGAACAAATAGAAATTGCCACGAGAATCACAGCCCAATATTTTTCTCTGTAACAGGAGGATAATACTGACCTTTGGATTGATGTGGCTGTGAAAATTGTACACAAGTGTTGTTGTACAAGAGAGGCCCAGGGTATATATTGAATGGCTTCCATTATGGTTATTAATAATAATAGAAAGCAAAAGGAAATGGAAAGGGCTTAAGTTGAAATTCTTTTCAATGTAAAAGTAGGATTTTTTCAGTTTATTACTTTATTATTTTTGCATTATACTTTTTGGTTATTTTTTAATATGTCATTCCAGGACAGAAAATAATATCCAAAGACATTTTGGCACTGGCAGCTGCATCTATAGCAAGAAAGATAGCCAGTCTGTTCCAGCCAATGAAATTTCCCAGAAGACAGCAGAGACTCAAGGCGACAGAGAGGAGACTCAAAAAAAAAACTTGTTAGATATTCTTAAGGACATGAAAGTTGAACTGAGCACAGTAAATGTGCAAACAACAAAGCCTCGTGGCAAAAGACCTTCTGCTGGTCTGCAGGCTGCAGTTAGCAGGCATAGAAGAGCTCCAGAAGACCCTCCAAAAAATAGGTGAGTTATCCCAATTGGATGTGCTTAGACACTATCTATAGTGCTCCAATAAGCCTTTTCTTATAGTAAACAATCTATTAGATTATAGTAATTGAGACATTGAAATAACAAAGCAGCAGAAGTACAGGGTCTCTAATTGTTACTTTAGGAGTGTGTGTGTGTGTATGTATTTAATTTAAGGTACCAGCAGATATTTGTGGCCAGCATTTGGGAGCAAGAAACAGAGTATTGTGACTTTAAGGCCAGCCTAGATTACATAGGAGACTTTATCTCAGAAAAACAATTTAAAAAATGCGCATACATCTGTAAGTACTTATCCTGGATTATATTTGGCAAGGCACACATTTGTACTCCCAGCACTTGGGTTGGACCATGCAGACTGCAGGATTGTGTTAGACCAGCTTGGGCTACATAGGGAAACATTGTCTCAAAAACAGCAACAAGTAAGGGTGGCTTAAAAAACTCTAGATGTGTTTAAAGTTATTATAAATGTGCAATATAAATAACCAAAATGGCTGGGTGATGGTGGCACACGCCTTTAATCCCAGCACTTGGGAGGCAGAGGCAGGTGGATCTCTGTGAGTTTGAAACCAGCCTGGTCTACAAGAGCTAGTTTTAGGACAGCCTCCAAAGCCACAGAGAACTCTGTCTTGAACCCCTCTGAGACAAACCCTTTGAACGGTTCAGTAAGGTAGTTTTAGTGTGATATTTTTATTGGTTCTTTGAGAATTTCATATATGCATACAATGTATTTGTCTCCCAATTCTCTACCTAGCTCCTCCTAGGTTCATCCTTATCTGCCCATCCCCCCTAAATTCATGTCCTCTTTCTCTCTCTCCTTTTTTTTTTTTTTTTTTTTTTTTTTTTTGAGACAGAGTTTCTTTAGCTTTGGAGCGCTGTCCTGGAACTCGCTCTGTAGACCAGGCGAGAGATCCGTTTGTCTCTGCCTCCTGCACGGGATTAAAGGCGTGTGCCACCAACGCCCAGCTCTTCTCTCTCTCTCTTTTAAAATAACCCATGGAGTCCAATTTTTTGCTGTCCATATACTCATGGATATAAGGCAGCCCAGTGGAGATTGGTCAACAGACCAAGGTGACACCCTTAAGAAAACTGATTTTGCCTCCTCTGGCAGCCGTCAGCTGTTAGTAGCTTCTCAGTTGGAGGTGAAGGCTCATGAGCCTCCCCCTGTTAGAATGTTGGCTACCTTGATTTTATGCAGGCACCTGCAGCTGCTATGAGTTGATGAGTGCAGTCACCCTGTTTTCCTCAGAAGATGCTGTTGTCACTCCGGTCTTTGCTAACCTCTGTTCTCCATAATCTGTTCACCCACTCTTCAGTGGCCCCAAGCTTTATTAGTGAAGGGAGGTGACAGAGATGCCCAGTTTGTGGCTGCTGGGTCCATAGATGCTCTTTCTCTGCTTTTCAACCAATTGTTTCTACATTAACCTCCTTCTACTTCATAAAGAAGTCTCTCGGACGAGGTCTGAGAGCTGCACTAATCTGTGGTATAAAGATACAAACTTGGAGGGCAGTTTGATGCTATGTCCATTTAGCAAAATAATAGGACTAGTTCACCCTGAGGGCATATGAGCTCCCCAACCATGGGTCCTTGGCCAGATTTGCAGCACCAGGCATGCATTTTCTCCAGTGAGTCATGCCTTAAACCAATCAGAAAGCAGATGGTTACTTCACTATTGGACCACAATGGTTATTGCAGCTACAGTTTCACAGATGGAGAAGACAGTTGATTATCTCCCCGGAGCAGCCTACATAACACCTTCTAGCACTATGAATGGCAGTCATCAGGGAGGAAGCCCCTTGGCCAGTACAGCTTGACTTCTCCATGTCCTGTGGCCCAGGTGGGCAGAGTAGGGTCCTAACCATCAAGTTCTGGTGGGCAACCAAGAGAGTGGCGACAGCATATTGCTTTGGAGATACTCCTACAGAAAGAACAAGACAAGCATGAAAGTGTAGATTGCCAAATAAATCCTTCAAAGGTTTTGCTTTATTTTTCTACTTAATTTTATTTTTTTTTAATTTTATTGTATGTAAAAGTGCAGGTGTGCTTGGCCTTCCCAAAAATGTGGAGGTCAGGGGACAACTGGTTTTGGAGCTGGGTTCTTTCCTTCCACTGTGTTTCTGAGGTAGGGTCTTCCTTATTTCTGCCTCTGTGCTATGTGTAAAAGATGTTGACCACTACTACTGTGTCCTCTCCCTGGCCCTGGGAATGCTGGGATTGCAGATGTATGAGGTCACATCCAGCTTGTTTTGGTGGGTTTAGGTCATCAGGCTACCTGACGAACCATCTTCCTGGCCTTTGCTTTTCTACAGTAAAAAAATAATAATAAATTATTTTTGAGAAAATGTCTCAGGTAGCCCATACTGTTATATATATGATATATAAGAGAGATAAAAGATAACCTTCTGATGTTGGTCCAAGAAGATGCTGTGGGCAAGATTGGTGAATGGGATGCATTTGTTTTCAGTTTGAAGAAAAGTTTCTTGTAATAATTTATTTAACCACTCAGGCACTGGACGTACCCCAACCACTTTCTTACTTTTTTTTTCCCCTCAGGACAGAGTTTCTCTGTGTAACAGCCCTGGCTGTCCTGGAACTAGCTCTGTAGACCAGGCTAACTTCAAACTCACAGAGATTCACCTGCCTCTGCCTCTGAATGCTGGTATTAAAGGCGTGCGCCACCACTGCTCAGCCAAAAATTTATTTATTTATGTATTTTTTTTAATGTGCATTGGTGTTTTGCCTGCATGTATGTCTGTGTGAGGGTGTGGGGTCCCCTGGAACTGGAGTTACAGACTTGACTGCCATGTGGGTGCTGGGCATTGAACCTGGGGATCCTGTGGAAGAGCAGCCAGTGCTCTTAACTGCTGAGCCATCCCTGCAGCCCCTACTTTCTTACTTTTTGTTTTGAAAGAGTGTCTTACTAGTTACCCAGGCTAGCCTTCAACTCACTTTGTAGCCCAAACACAGTAAGCACTTGTGGTTCTCCTGTCTCAGCCTTCTGAGTAGCTGAGATTACAGGCCCATGCCTGACCAGGTCTCTCTCCCATCTCTCTCTCTCTCTTAGAGTCCAATGTCTGCAAATTTGAGTTAGTCACCGTATTTGCCTCACACTTCACTGTAGTAATTACTCCATACACGACGGAGTTTTTCTTCCCTCCTCCGTCCTTTCTTGTCATGTATCAAAGCTCACTAGTGTGGCTGCCATGGTTGAATTGTAGATTACCCTAAAACATACTCTCATAAAATAAACGTTTTTATGACAAAAAATACTTTTAATCAAAGCATGTTCATGTGTTTTGGACTGGTTTCTTTACAACACATGTAATAAAAAGGCTACATAGATGTTAAAACATTGATCATTGTACACAATAACAAAACCGAACTTTCTTCAAGTATTATCTTTCAACTAAGAAATGCCACAGAGAGCTTTTGATTGACAGCTAAGGCTTGTGTTTGTTGAAAGTACACCCTGAGCAGGGCAGTGGCAGCGTAGGTGGATCTCTGTAGGTTCCAGGCTAGCCCGGTCTACAGAGTGAGTTCTAGAATAGCCAGGGCTACACAGAGAAACCCTGTCTGGAAAAAACAAAACAAAAAACGTAGTGATGTACTCATTCTGGTTTTCCTTCCTTGTTTCATTTTTTTTTTAGAAATGAGTTCCTGAGTTCTGAGTTGGTAGCAGCCGCCTCTGCTGTTGCAGATTCTCTACCGTGGGACAAGCAGACAACCAAGTCGGAGCTGCTCAGGCAGCTTCAGCAACACGAGGAAGAGACAAGGACTCAGAAAGACAGAGAGAAGAGTAAGATTAGGTCAGTGGTCAGATGCCATGTCAGTAATGCCTAGGTCTCACAGTGGCTGGTGAATGGCACACATCTGTCTTAACATCTAAAACCACCTCGTGGGCCAGCGAGATGACTCAGTAGGTAAAGGTACACACTGCCACACCTGATGGCCTTATGTCTGCAAGTGCCTACATACATACCCACCCCACATAACAATAAAACTTAAAACATTCACTTCACAAGCACAGTGCTTTTAACTGACAAACTGTCTCTCCAGCTCCTGTTTGTTTTAAGTGAATAGCTAAACTTTTCTTTTAGGAAGTTACAAAGTTTTTTGTCCCTGAAATAGAAATGATAAAATCAGTAGTGATATTTAAAAAGAAAAAACAAAATAAGTAACTGAGTAAGATAGCTTTCTCTGAGAAAATCAGTTTTTCTCAATGAAACAGACTGCTGGTTTTGCTTACAGTATGATGTCAGACGAGTTCCCTCCCCTTTTCTTTATGTTTGAGCTGAGTTTTTCAACATATCCTTTTCCTTTTAAAGACTATTTTATGCTGGACGGTGGTGCTGCTCACACCTTTAATCCCAACACTCAAGAGGCAGAGGCAGGCAGATCTCTGTGAGTTTGAGGCCAGCCTGATCTACAGAGCAAGTTCCAGGACAGCCTCCAAAGCTACACAGAGAAACCCTGTCTTGAAAAACCAAAAGCAAACAAACATACAAACAAAAACCCTATTTTATGTGTGTGTGTCTAAGTATATGCATCTGCACCGTGTGCATGCAGGAACCCTCAGAGTCAGAAGAGGTTGTTGGCCCCTGGAACTGGAATTGTAGGGGGTTTGAGCTGCCATGTGGATGCTGGGAACCAAAGAGCCCTGGTGGTTGTCATCGTCTTCGTCGTCGTCGTCGCCTTTTGCTATATTTACTGTATGAGTGTTCTGCATATACACCTGCAGGCCAGAAGAGGGAACCAGATCCTATTATAAATGGCTGTGAGCCACCATGTGGTACTAGGAATTGAACTCAGGACCTCTGGAAGAGCAGCCTGTGCTTTTAACCACTGAACCGTCTCTTCACTTCTCTAGTCCAATCAACATATCCTTTTTGTCACTCAATTTACACCAAGTTTTACAACCTACCGCCTGAGGTCATAAATGGTGGCACTGCCCCCCTTTGGGGGATGATATGAATCTGTTCTCAGTGAGCTCATGGGGGGCATTTGTCTCTAGAGAATCAAAGAGTAAACATCCCTCAGTGTCACAACAATCCTTCTATATATATAAGATGGCAAATATAGCTCGTCTTCAATTTTAATGTAACTGTCACTAGGTGATGGGTAGAAGTATACTTGATTGTATTTTCCTATCTGTTCCTCTGGATATTAGTAATTCTTGTAACTGATATTTTCATCTTCCAAATAAAACTTTAAGCGTATATTTAAAAAAACTAGAGACTTGCATCTTAATGTCTGTCATATAAGTATGTGACTTTATTTCCTCATAAATCATTATGTTCTCGTTGGGGCATAATGGATTAAATGGATTAAGGATTAATTGGTATGTCTCCTCTTAAGAAAAGTTTGCTGCTCCAGTGCAGCTGAGATCCCTAATGCACTTGACCTTTTAATTTCAGTTTCCGTCACATAATATCAGAGATGAAAATTGCCAGATCCCCTTCTGCAAGAGTTAGTACAAGACCACAGCACCAGATTCAGTTTGATGAGGAAATGGACAATTCTTCCCTTCACCTGGAGAAGCCATCTGATTTCAAACAAAGGTATTCAAGTTTGTAGTCTACTGGGTTTTGTTTGTGTAGTTTTTACTCAACTGTAGTCTTGATTGATTCTGCATATTATTACTGATAGACTGGTGATCATTGTGGGCACCTAGGTAGAGTTTATACCACTGTGGTAGAACACCGTAACCCACAGCAACTTGGACAGGAAAGGGTTTATTTCATCTCACACTTCCAGGGAACAGAATCAGAAGAGTCAGGGCAAGAACTCCAGGCAGACACCTAGAGGCAAGGATTAACGTAGAGGCCATGGAAGAACGCTGCTTACTGGCTCGGTCACCCTGCCTTGCTCAATTTGCTGTGTTTTACAACTCAGGACCACTTGCTGGGCCCTCCCACATCAGTCATCAATTTAAAAAGACGTACCGAAGGTTTGCCCACAGGCCAGTCTAATTAGGGTATTTTCTTCCAAAATGACTCTAGCTTAGGTCATTGATATAAAAGTAGCCAACACAGCTATCTTCTCTGACATTCCAACTGAAACTCATCACCTAAAGAGATATCGTATATGTATGTGTATTAGTTCATGTGGAGGGTCCCTGCAGGTGTCATTGCAGGCATTGATCCTCAAAGAGATGACAACTTTGGGGAGTCTAATCTCAGGTGGTTCCCTGTCAGTATATTTAAAACACGGTACAATTTGGGAAAAAGTTTCCAGGCAACAGTCAATCCAGACAGACAGTTCCGGGTATACAATAAAGCTTAAGATGTGACTACATACAAGCTCTTTTACATAGTACATGTGACCATGAGGGTGTGTTCTGTAGCTAAAAGGCCTAGTGCGGGCTCTGACCCATAGCATAGAAGTCAGCAAACCATAAAATACTTGTGACATCGTCCCTAAGGATGGGTAATAGTTTAGGTTAATAGAGATGGGTAATAGAGAAGAGTCTGGAATAACCATTCTGGGGAATTTGGTGAGGTCTGTCTCTATAGCAGAAGGTGGGTGAGGTCTGCCTCCACAGACAACAGAAAGGTTACCTGGTCATTAGCAAAATCCACTCTCAGCTTTCTGATGGAATGCAGGTATTTAACTTTTATCTCCTCCATGGAGGAGACACCCCTGTGTGACTGACATTCCTGGTTCTCTTAGTGCTTGTTTGTGAGTACAAGGATCCCTGTGCTTATGCACCCAACAAGTGCAGTTTGCATGTTAGGTGTAAAGGTATGCTCAGGCTGAACTGGGGGTCACTGTGCCTTTCCCTGGAGAGGAATTTCCTGGGTTTAACAGACCAGAGTGAGTTTAGAATAAGTGGTGCTGGCTAAATTCTGAACAAATGAATGTACAAGATGCATTCTCTTTCATGCTGAATGTTTCTAACACTGAACATTTATATGTATAGTTATGATTCCCTTTCTTCATACCTTAGAGAAATAACTCATCAGTAAAAAGGCCAGGCATGGTGGCTTACACTTGTAATCCAACACAGGGGAGGCTGAGGCAGGAGGAGCACGGTGAGTTTCAGGCCACTCTGGATTTCACAGTGAGTTCCAGTTCAGCCTGGGATAGTCAGACTGTCCCAAAAATAATAAGACCATGGTGGTACATACCTATATTCCTAGCTCTTTGGAAGGGGGAGCAAGAAGCTCTTCAGATTGAGACTATCCTAGTCTACAGAATGAGACCCTGTCTAAGAAAATACAAAATGCATATACATAAATATAGATTTTAAAGATTATAACGAAAGTCCCCATATTACCTAAGTGGTAAATTATTTGTAGTAATTTGAAATTGCTCATTTGAAACTGTTAAGACACTAAGCCATACGTTACATGGTTATTTTGCAATTGGAAGTTGTATAGTTACATGAAACTTGTATTCTTTCCTTTAAGGCCAAAAAGTGATGACCTTCCCTCATTTAAACCTCTCTGAAACTACCATCACAAACTGCCCAAAGGTGTGCCTTCTAAGTGAGTCTAAGTCAGCGAAGATATCAGTAGGTCTAACCAGTACCCTAGCCTGCAGAGAAAACTGGAGTCAGCTATGTAAGAGTAGTAGATGCTCAGCAAGTATACACACACACAACCCTCCAGCCATTTGTTCTTAAATTTCCCCAGACAATGTAATATACTTTTATCAGAAGATGCTTTAGTCTGTTATCCTGTTGCTCTGTAATGAGTAATGTTTAGGAGGAAAAAGAACCTAAGGCCTCAAGGACACTTCTGGACAGAAAGGCCTGTTTCTTGTTGTTACTTTTAGGGTCACAGTCTTACTGTGTAAGCCAGATGGCCAGGGGGGCTTAGAGTTCAGCTCCTTCTGCCTCTGCCTCCTGAGTGCTAGGATTGCTGCCATTTAGAACTCCAGTCCAGGAAGGCCAGTGTTTACAGTCACATGGGGACCTAATAGGACAAACCTTTCATACAAATGAAGTCTTTTATTTCTTTTAATTTGCAACTTTTCTACTTTATTTTAGTAATTTGAATGAGAAAAGAAATTTCAGAGTTATGTTTATAACTATTCATATTGTTTATGAACTGTTTTTAACCTGCTAGTAGTTTTATTCAAGTAAATAAGTAAATTGAAAAAAGAAGTGTTTCTGTTGAAAAAAGAAGTGAATTGATGGATAAAGCAATTTGTCCTGGTTCCATTTCTATCGCTATGATTAAAATACCCTGATAAAAAGCAACTTGGAAAGAAGGGGTTTATTTAGCCCAAGGTTCTTGCTTATAGCCCTTGATGGCAGGGAAGTCAAAGCAGGGACCTGAAGCAGTTATTACATCGCACCCACAGTGAAGAGCATGGAGACATGCATGTTTGCTTTTGCTCAGACCCTCTCTATACTTAAAAAGCCCAACGCCCAGGATCTTCTTTTACCTACATGATCCCACCAAGTCAACTAAGGCAATGCTCCAGGCAGGTTCAGTCCAGCTTGATGTAGGCAATCCCTCATAGAGACTTTCTTCCAGGAGATTGCAGGTTGTGCCACATTGATAAATATTAAAGTTAATTAAAGTGTACCAGAAGAAGTTGTATATTAACTCTCTGACAGTAATTTCAGCAGTTTGTAAAAATAGCTATGTAAAGAAAGTTAAGAACTACTTTCAAATTGCAGATTGATTGCTCTTTTATAAAGCAATTGCTTTTTTATAAAATGGCATGTTTTTAAAAAGAAATATCAGTGGAATAAAATGGCATGTTTTATCTGTGCCTTCTTCTGTCACTATAATTTATAATTAGACTATCCACTGTTTTCTGTCCTCAAGAACAAATGTTTAGTTTACCGGCTTCTATTTTTGCAGATTTTTATAGATTTCCACAACACTAAGGTTTCTAGAACTTTCAGCTGAGTATTTTGAAAATTAAACTTAGCTGGTTTGTTGTATTGTAAAGCAAAAGTCTAAGGGCCTATGTTCTTTTTCTACTTACCAGTCTGAAAATCATGGTAATTTAGCTAAAATGTCTGATGCAGGTCAAAGTGATTATTATCAGTTACTACACAGATTGTTTCATGTGCATTTATTCCTTAAGCAGTTTTTGTTGACATTTTATAAATGTGTCTTACTAAGGTGTTTTTTTTTTTTTTTTAATGTTTATATCTTAGGAAATGCTTATTCAAGGGGAAAAGACTTGGCATTTTTGACATTAAGGCGTTTGCTGATGAAGCACCTGAAACAGGTTTGTTAAGAACAAGACTTCTCCAGGTGGAGAAGCATTCTGTCTTTCAAAGATGGCCTTGGTGTTTTGATTGTAACTGTGTATTTCCATTTCCATATTTCTTCCTGTCCTTGACCCATGAATAAAAGAGTTGACAGTGCTCATTTCAGTCCTGCTTCCTCCTTAAAACATTGCATCCCAAGGTGTCTGGAGAGATCAGTACCACCAGATAAATAATCCAGAGCTAGGGTTGGCTGCTGCTTTTGGTTAGAAAGTATTATCCCCCTACCATTTGCATTATAACTCTCTGCTTGTACATAAAGATAATCAATCTGGGGTTCCTGCTTTTGAGAGGCTTTCTACCCAGAATAGGAGAGAGAGAGTGCGTGCGTGCGTGCGTGCGTGTGTGTGTGTGTGTGTGTGTGTGCTGAATACTCTCTTTTCATTTTGGTTAATTTGGCTTCTTGACAATCTTGTCAAAAAACTAACTTTTCATTTCATTGATTCTTTGTATTTTTCGTGTTTGAAATATTAATATCAGCTCTGATTTTGATTATCTCTTCCCATCTATATTTGGGGATATCGTTATTGTTTTTCCAATGCCTTCAGGTGATTCATTAAAAGTTATTAATTTGAGACCTCAAAAATTCTTTTTTTTTTAATTTAATTTTATTTTATTGGTTCTAGTTAGGGAACAAGCTTATTTCAAGTCCCTTCTCCCTCTCCCTCCCCTCACTCCCAAACCCCCCCCCCCCACCCCTCCCCCCACCCCCCA